GCGAGAGGAGAGAAGAGGCGGGGGAGGGACAGGCTCCCTTGAGTGAACTGGGAACCTAGGGACGGGGTTGGTCAGGCCCACGGGTTTTCATGAGTGTAGTCAACGTGGAGAGTGTGATGGGTGAATTGCGGGGTTTACTTCCTGTCGTACTCTGATCTTGGGGGTTTAGGGAGCTGGAACTTTGGAGCAGCCTGGTTCTCTAAGGCTGGATGAGGGCTGGAACTCATACTCCCAGAGCACCTACTGGGTGCCTGGATTGGGTGATTCACATCCAGCCATAGCACACCTAACCCATGACCTAGTACAGTGCTCAAGGGCGTGGATGCAGGAGGAAGACTCTCCAGGTTCAAATCCTGGTTCCACCCTTTCATGGGAAGGAAGTCCTTCCCCCCAACCTTAGTTTTATTGAGGTACAACTAGTATACAAAAACTGCACACGATTAATATTTACAACTTGATGAGTTCGGCCACATGAATATACTCATGTTATCATCACCACAATCGAGGTAATAAACGTTCCATCCTTCCAAAAGCTTCCTCATGTCCTTTTGTGTGTGTGTCATAAGAACTCATGAGATCGGCCCTCTTATAAACTGTTTCAGTGCACAATACCTTATTGTTAACTTCGGGCACCATGTTGCACAAGAAGATCTTGGTAACTCACTTTTCTCACTTAACCATTACTTTGTACCTTCTGAATAATTCCTCATACCCAACGGTCCCCCATCTTCCAGCCCCCACCTTCCACTACTCCCTGCACTTAGATGGTCCCATCTAGAAAATGGGGATAATTATCATAAGGGCTCCAGATACTATCCCTTTCCAAAAGCTCCATAGATGTGATTCTTATGGTGATGAGGACCCTCATGTAATCAGTACAGACTCTGAGATTCAGAGTGGGTGAAGATACTCAAGATGGCAGAAGTTAGGTCCGGCTTTAAGGCTCTGGCCACTGCCCTGAGCTGCTGGTCTGCACTGAAACATTCACCCACATGGTCTGCTGTCATCTAGGAGGCGCCAGGGCTAAATCTCAAACCCGGGTCATCTTAACAAGTTCAGTGCTTGGGGGGGGGTCAACACTGTCAATTCCCAACTGCATGATGCGGGCAAGTCACTTAACCTCTCTGAGCCTCCCAGCCCAGAGTCGTTGGAGTTTGCTGTCATGATGCTCTGTACATGAGCGCTTAGGATCTCACGGCCACTCAGCCATGGACCTGGGCTGAATTCAGGACTCCTGACTCCAAGGATAAGGCTCTTTGACCCACTTCAATCAACTGCATACAGATCACGTGAAGATTGCCACCACCATCATGAGACTCACATCTACTGAGTGTTTATAAAACTATCAACTTCTTAGATCTGCCACAATTTCATTTCCCCATTTTGTAGGTTGGACAATCTAAATTTAGAGAAGTTAAAGAGCTTTCCTAGGAAGTGGGACTTGAACTCAGAGAGTATTGCTCCTGAGCCTATATTCTTAACCACTGTGCTACACGGCACCCAGCTCACAGGGGTGATCTTTATGGTGGGCTGCAGGGAGCACCCCTTCAGCTGTGAGTGCCCTTGAGAATTCCCTCCTGGATTCTTTGTATGACGAATCACCTCCTCTTGGTCACTCTGGCCCCAAGATCACTGGCCTCTTTCACTGACCCCACACCCCAGCACCCTGCTCCTCCCCTTCCAAGCAGTACCTTTGCCCTTCCAGTGAGCATGGGCGGCAAAGCCGATGTGGCCGCCATACTTGCGGTTGAACTCCGCCATGAGGGCCTTGTAGGGGTTGCGGATGAGCAGGATGGCTGCATCGAAAGCCTCGATCTCCTTCTGGCCGCTCTCGTGTGTCTTGATGCAGATGGTCCGGCCGCTGCGCCAGTGGTCCCGCTCGCCTTTAAACCCTTCGCCCCAGCCAGAGGGTAGAAAACAGAGCAGGTGAGCTGGGGGAGGCAAGAGGTGCAACCCGCCCACTCTGGGCCACCTCAGGAATCTTTGTTCATTCACTCATTCATTGACTCACATATTTCTTCAAGTTTATTCATTTATTTCTTCCATGAGAGAGAGAAGGGGACATCTCCAACAGGGGTCCTCATGTCTCTATCCCACCCCACTGTAGCCGGCTAGGCTCGTGGGCACATGCATGCACACAGTGTACACAGGCAGACTTTGTGATGCAAACCCAGGACCTTTGTATGTGGCCTCAGCATCACGGAGCATTGCGTTATTGCTTTGCCACCATGACTGGCCACTCACATTTTCCTGAGCACCTACTATGTGCCAAGCATTACCCTGGAAGCTGGGGACAAAGCACCTACTATGTGCCAAGCAGTACCCTGGAAGCTGGAGATAAACACAATTTGCAAAAACATCCAGGGGTCTTCCTGTTTCTGAGAGACAGATTATTCAGATATTGACACAAACACATGGGGCGTCGCTGCCACAGTAAGTGCCAACAGGAGGCACGTGGGTGCCATGAGCAGGGCCTGACAGGGCTGCCTTCAATAGTTCCTCTATCCCTACCCTACACTGATGATGGGTGTGGCCACGTGACTTGCTCTGGCCAATGGGATGAGGGCGACTGTAGGTTTCCACCAAGTCTCACGTACATCACATGTTTCTGCTCACTCTCAAGCTTTTGCCATCGGCATGAGAAGGACATGCCCTGGGGGTGGCAGTGGCAGAGGACATTGGTTCCAAGTGGTGGAGATGCATTGGACAGACATGACCCCAACCTGCATCCTGGAGACAAACAGTCCAGTCACTCTAACCACAATCACTGACCTCATCAGGTGGCATCTAGAAAGGCTTCCTGGAGGAGGAGACAAATAAGCCGAGAACTGAAGGATGAGGAGGAATTGAGTAGCCCTATGCCCTAAAGGAATAGGAGACCTAGTGGGGTGAAGGAATAATCTTGGGAGCCTGGGTTCGATCTCAACTCTGCCAATCCCTATCTCTACAACTTAGATGAGTTATTTCTTCTCTCTCCCTCAGTGTGCTTGAGAGCCTAAGAGGGGAGAGATGGGAGGGTCAAGGGCTGGAAATGGCAGGTACAAAGGTCCTGTGGTGAGTGGGAAGACATGTCAGATATGAGTGACTCCTGAGGGAGCAGAGAGAGAGGAGAGCGAGAGGTTGGACTGGGTTATGGGGTTGTGGTGAACAGGTCAGTGCCAGGACAAAAAGGCTGGGCAGCCCCTGAAAGGATTTCTACAAAAAGAAGGAAGAACGCTATCAGGTTTTTATTTTAAGAGCTGAGGAACTGAGGGGAGCTTTGCTCAGCCAGCGAGTGAAGAAACGCTTCTAGAGCAATGGCTCTGGGCTGGGCCCTGGACTGAGCTCCTCACAGATAATAAGCAATTCCGTCTACTCCACAGTCCCGTGAGGGATTTTACAGATGAGCACACTGAGGCAGAGAGGTGAAATAACTCATCTAAGATATAGAGCTAGGGACAGGCAGAGCTGAGATTGAACCCAGGCTCCCCAAGGCAGTCCTTCGCCCTGTAGGACTTGCTCTCCTGAGAGCTAAGGCATGTGAGTGACATCCTGAAGGCTGAGTGGAAATGCTATTGTTCTAGGCCTTCAAGATACTGGCTCTGGGGACCAGCAGTTGGCATAATGGCTATGTTGCTGGACTCCCATGTAGTCGACCGGGATTTGAGTCCCAGACCCAGTGGCTTAAACTCATGCTGGGTGCGTGTGCGTGCATGCGTGCCCAAGATCCCAAGAGGAGAATGGAGGAGAGGGGATTGTGGTGTGGCCATCCTGCCGGGGGAGGGGGGGATTTCTCACTTTCTATCTCTCTGTCTCTGTCTTTCTGGTGAGCATACACGCCCTATAGCAAAAACCTCTCCAAGAAAAAAAAAGATACTGGCTCTGTTTCCAGCTTATTGAGTGGGTGGTTCTGGACAGCATGTAGGAGGTGGCCTGATTCCTACTCCTATTCCTGAAGAGGGGGTCAAGAGAGACGCAGCCCCCTCTTACAGGGCCACTGGACAGAGAGCCAGGAATAGAATGTGATTTCCCAAGTCAGGTTCTATCCTGGGACCTACTGAGTCAAGCTTCAAAGATTGGTCCAGCCTTGCAAATTGAAACTGGCCCATGCCCAGGAGAAAATATTAACCCACAGTCTTTGAGGCTCACAGGAAACAATATCATGGGGAAAATCAGCTCCTAAGAGCAATGACTGGGTATCAGACTTGAACCATAAATGTTCACTCACAAGACAGCAATGGATACAATTTCACGTCATGCACTCCAGTGCGAGAGCTCTGCGTGACACAGACCAAGGGCTTTCCACACATGATTTTATTTTATCTTCACCAAAATCCATTTCACTATGAGCACAGCGATGGAAAGACACAGGCAGGAGGTATATAGCAACCCACATGAATTCTCACGAAGGGAAAATAAGCTGTCAGAAACATGGCAGAATGGTCAACGTACTTTAAATCTACCCCATGCATGGTGAAATTCAAGTTACACTTCTCTTTGTCCACGATGGGGTCAACCTAGCATCGTATTTATCAAGATTAATAACAAACAAACAAGGGGCCAGCAGATGGCGTAATGGCTACATCTCTGGACTCCCATGTAGTCAACCACGGTTTGAGCCCCAGACTCAGTGGCTTAAACTCACGCTGGGCGCATGTGCGTGCGCGCCCAAGATCCCGAGAGGAGAATGGAAGAGAAGGGATTGTGGTGTGGCCATCACCCCGGGTGGGTGATTTTTCGCTTTCTGTCTCTCTGTCTCTCTCTGTCTTTCTGGAGAGTGCACAGGCCCTATAGCAAAAACTTCTTCAAAAAACCAACCAAACAAACAAAATCACATTCTGGTTGCCTGGGGAGGTGGTCTGTAGGGAAGACTGGAAACGTAGAGAGGTGGGGGAAATTCCGTTTAGCAGCGTGTCTTCTACAGACAGAAGAGTTCAATGTCTGGAATGGAACCTTTGTGCAGCCACATGGGAGGGGCATGCCTGAGGAACAACAGGTAGGGTCGCTCAACTGTCCTCTAAGGAACGCCTGTCAAGGTAAGGACAAGGGAATTGGGGATGCAAGCCTGGGACCAGAGTGGAATTGCTGGACTCCACCTCTAGGGGGCGTCCTGATTTACCTTTCCCTGACACAGGATTATGTAAATGTGGCATATTTAAATATTAGAGAGTCACCAAAATAACAACTTATCTGGGGCACCTATGTGACCCTCAAATTCTGAGGGGCAGGAAAATTGAGGATTTGGAGAAACAGCCTTGTGGGTTCAAGGCCAAAGAGAGCAAAGCATGTCTTCCCCTTCTTCCTCCCAATCCCAATTCCAGAGTTGCCTATGCACTTTGTAGTTAGGGAAACTGAGGCACAGGAAAGTGACAAAATGTCAGGCAGTCTGTCAGCCGTAGGAGGGGCCTGGGAGATCACTCACCTAATACATGTCTATCTCTTTCTTTTTTTTTTATATATTTGCTACAGGACATGTATGCCTGGTGAACAGAGAGACAGAGAGACAGGGAGAGTGAGAAATAGCCCCCCAGGAGGAATGACCACACCACAGTCCTGTTTTCGTTTTCTTCTCAGGATTTTGGGCACACCCCTGGTGTGTTTTTTAAGCCGCCAGATCTGGGACTCAAACCATGCAGCTGGCACTGTGGGATCCAGCTGCTTTAACCGCCACGCCACATGGCTAGCCCTGACTCTTGCTCCTTGCAGATGAGGAAACAGATCCGGCAAGTTCGTAGCAAGGAGGAGTAAGGAACCTCTGAAGACCTGAGTAAATCAGCAAGAGTTGTTGGGGGATCAGCTCTCTGAGAAACCACCCTCCAGGCCCATCAAGTCAGGAACATGGGCGTCATCCTCCCCTCACTTCTAACCAATGTCCTGCTAAGTAGCCCTCTCTAAGGTTCCCTTTCCTCCCCTAACTGCCAACTTGAATGACCCTGTGGTCTCCCACACACCCCCAGACCAAAGCTGTGACGGGGCGTGGGGGATATTTCAAACACAGCGCTCAGCACATCATGCCTATGCCTAAAATGACCCAGCCCCAGCCCCCAGCCCCATCACCCTCAGCATCATGTCCACGGTGCTCAGAAAGGCATTCTGGGTGCTTGGCCATATCTCATCCTGGCTGCCCCTCCTGCCTTAGAGCCTCAGCCCCCACTCCCACTCCTCCACTGTCCAAAGCCATTGCACTCTGGCCACCGACAAGCTATGTCACTCCATGGTCTCTGCCTGGGACACTCTCCTTTCTCTCCTTTTGAGTAAGTCCTATCCATTTTGAGTGCACACACCCCCAAGATTAAATTAGAGAAAACAAAGCACCTACCACAGTGCTGGGCTTGTGGCAGACATTCAGTAAGTGCTGGTGAGAATTTCAAAAGTATTATCAAACAGTCACATGGATATAAAAATAATAAGCCTTATGGTGAAGGGATGGGTACAAGGAGGCTCAAGAAGGATCCCTTGAGTCTGCCAGAGCCACCATTGTGAAAGGGGGTCTGACTTGCATCCTGAGACATAGGTTTCCAGGTCCAGAGCCTGGACAAGAGCGGGGTGTTGGGAAGCCATGTCCCTGGGACCTCATCATTGCACCTGCAGACTAGGGGCAGAAGACCTGCAGCCCAGCAAGGTCGAATGGGACAGAGCAGTTACTCCTGCCTCCAGCATCTTTCTGCACATGGGTGCGAGGCTATCTTTAAGCATCTTTCAGCTGTAAAGGTGGTATGGGGAGAGACTTGGAAGTTAGCCCGGTTGACTGATGCCATTGGGGAGCAGGGGGCCTTCAATTTGTCTGTACCCCACTGCCAACCCCGAGCTCCCAGGGAGAGCTTATTGTTACCTGCAAGAGCTCAGGCTGCAGAGAGTATTTTTAAGCCCCTAATGAAAAGGTAGCTGTACTCAAAGTCCATGACCAGCCACAAACCTCTGCCTTTCTCCGTGGGGCCTACGGAAGCATCCAATAACTAGACACAGCTTGAGACAGGGGAATTGCCATGGAGGGTTTCTGTTTTCTCTCTTTTTCCTTTCCTTTTTAAAATCAAGTTAAGGGGCCAGCAGGGGACATGGTGGTTAAAGCATGGGACTCCCACATGGCCAACTGTGGTTCGAGTCTCAGACCTAGCAACTTGCTTTCTCATTTTCTTTTTCTCTGGTGACTGCACATGCCCTGTAGAAAAATTAAAAAAACAAAACAAAACAAAAAAAAAAACAAACCATAATTCTTTAAAAAAAAAATCAAGTTAAAATTTAGTAGCCCCTCATTCTATTCATGGTCTATTGATATTCCCCCATACTAAAGTATAATTAAAAAAAAACAAAACAGGGTAAAGATAAAACTTTGGAGTGTTGTGAGTCTGGAAGTAAGAACACTGGCTTCTTAGTCCAGGCCAGGGTCTCAGTTCTGGCTTTGCATTGGCAATTCTGGAAGAGCAGTTTGAGTCCTGGACCTGATGGCTTAAATTCACGCTGGGCATGTGTGCGTGCGTGCCCAAGATCCCGAGAGGAGAATGGAGGAGAAGGGATTGCACGTGGCCTTTCCCCCTGGGGGGTGGTTTCTTGCTTTCTATCTCTCTGTTTCTCTCCGTCTTTCTGGCAAGCACGTGCGCCCTATAGCAAAAACCTCTCCAAAAACAACAACAAAAAAACAAACAATAAAACAACGGGAGGGCCAGCCTGTGGGCTGGTGGTACAGGCAGCTGGATCTCATACGGCTGGCCTCATAGTCTGAGTCCCACATCCAGTGGTTTGACATATGGAGAAGAGACTGTGGAGTGACCATGCTCCATGGAGGTGTTGCTTTCTTACTTTCTCTCTCCCTCTGAGTGCATGTGCCCTCTAGAAAATATTTTTAAAAAGTACCGATGGGGGCCAGCAGGTGGTGTGGTGGTTAAGGTGCTGGACTCATACATGGCTAACCCCGGTTCGAGTCCCAGATCTGGCGGCTTGCTTTCTCACTTTCCCTTCCTCTCTTGCTGGCCAAATTAAAAATAATCATAATAAATGAAAGAAAATTAAATAAAATAATTCTTTAAAAAAATAGTACCAGTGGAGCTGGACAGTGGCACGGTGGTAAAATGTGATCCCACATGGGAAGAGTCTTGGTTCAAGTCCAGAGACTTCCCTGCGTACACGAAGCATGTGCATACCCACAGTCTGGGGCTGGCTGAAGGCCGGAGGTGAACTGCTGTCAGGACGCTATCGGGGGTGCTGTCTTTCTCTCTCTTTTTCTCTCCTCTGTACCTGTCTCTCTCTGTTTCTCCATCCCTCTTGATCAGGGAAGAAATAAATAAACTAAAACAAAATTTTGAAAACCTCACCAAGGCCACTCCCAAGATTCTGAAGGTCATGAACGAGGGTGCAGCCCGCATGTCAAGACTTTGGGTAATTCCTTTTTAGATCATGTTCAAGGGTTGCTCCATACATAGATTGAAAACCCCTCACAGGCAGGGTCCATGCTTCAGCACCCTAGCAGAGGGCTTCACACCCAGTGGGCACTTCATAAACAATTTCTAGTTCCCCAAGAACAAACCCAGGGCTTTCCTGCCTATGGACTAGAGTAATCAGGATGTAGACTTCTTTTTTAAAAGAGCTTTTTGCTGTAGGGTGCATGCGCTCACCAGAGAGACAGAAAGCAAGGAATCAGCTCCCAGGGGTATGGCCATGCCACAATCCCTTCTCCTCCATTCTCCTCTAAGGATTTTGAGCATGCTCACACATGCAAGTTTCAAGCCTCCAGGTCTGGGACTCGAACTGCGTTAAACCATGTGAGAGTCCAGTGCTTCAACCACTACGCCACATGCTAACCCTGGGATACAGACTTTGAAACTGGAAAACACCAAGGTACGATCCTTGGTCAGCCCATTGACAAAACATTACAAGGCTATGGGCAAGTTATGCCTCCTCTCCAAGCCCAGGTCTGCACACCTGGGCAACAGCAGCACAATCCTACCTCCCAGTTCCTGTGCAGAGTAAACAAGGCAGACCCAGCACAGACCTGGGTACCAGGAGGCGGCTGAGAGAACCTCTGTGGCGATCTGCTGGGCACACAGTGCTCCACAGATGCATGCTGGGAAAGCAGACCTAGAAAGTGTATCCAGAACACAACGGTGCTCAGTAAGCATCTGTGAGTGGAATGAAAACAAAACGCCCTGCACGACAACTATCACTCCATGTAGATAAGACCCCTGGCGAATCGTAGGCACTCAATCAATGTCCTCAACGCAAACAGTTATTGTACCTCTGTGGACAATGTAGAGTCCTTGGTCGGTTATTATCTGTAGTGAGGTACCCAGCACACAGTAGGTGGTCAAGGAATGTTTGCTGTGACCCAGTGGATGAAACGCCAATTACTGAATGGATGCAGGTAAGGTACTCAAGACTAACACTCCAGAAATGTTTGCGAGATAAAAACGAAGGAAAGGTACCACACAGTAGGTCTCAATAACTGTTGCCAGGCAAGCTGAGCGGCACACAGTAGGTGCTCAGGAAGAAGTATTCCCACGCCCTCCCAGTGGGATCTTCCCAAGCTGGGAGCCTCCTGACTGCCCTCCCTCTCGCCTCTGCCCTCTCACCTTTGTTGTAGAGGGAGCCATCGAAGTAGTAGCTTCCCGTGTAGAAGCCGGTGGCCAGCTCGATGAGGTGGCGAGCCCACGTGTTGCCGGCACCGGGGAAGCTGGCCAGGGCGATGAGCTGCTTCGACTTGGCTGGCAGGAACCTTCTGTCCATGCAGCGGTTGTCTACAAAGGATGAGAGACGGACGGGGGTCGGGGGTTGGGACAGACAGAGCCTGTCCAGAAGGGATCCAGGTATAAGTCCCACCCCTGAGACTTCCTAGCCATGAGACCCAATGCACACGATGGAAGCCACTGTGGGCCTCAGTTTCCCCATGTGTAAAGTGAGGGTGATGCCTTCTCCCTCACAAGGTTGAAGTGAGGGTTAAAGAGGTGACACATGAAAAAGGGTAAGACCAGGGACCAGCAGTTAGCGTAATGGCTATGTCGCTGGACTCCCATGTAGCTGACCGCAGTTCGCGTCCCAGACCCAGTGGCTTAATCTCACACCGGGCGTGTGTGCGTACGTGCCCAAGATCCCGAGAGGAGATGGAGGAGAAGGGATTGTGACGTGACCATCCTCCCTGGGGGGTGATTTCTTGCTTTCTGTCTCTCTGTCTCTTTCTGTCTGTCTGGCAAGCGCACGTGCCCTATAGCAAAAAACCTCTTCAGAAAAAAAAAAATTATTTAAAAAAAAAAAAAAAGAAGGGTAAGACCAGAGGCCAGATGGTGGCACAACAGTGAAATGTGGTCCCCGGGAGGCATCCCTACCAGGGAGCATTCCTGGTTCAAGTCTGGAGGCCTCCCTGAGCATGCCAAGCACATGCTTGCCCATGATCTGGGGGTGGTTAAAGGCCGGGGTGGAACATGACAGTAAGACTCTATTGAGGGTGCTGTCTCTGTCTCTCTCTTTCTCTCTCTCTGCCTTGTTCATGAATGAAAGAAAGAAACAAAACAAAACAAAAAGCAGAGTGCCAAGTGCTTAGTCAATAAAAGCCAGCTAGGAGGTCTTCTTTCTTTGGTTTTTCTTTCCAGTCTGTTTCCCTCAGCAGAGTAATTCCTGCACATTCAGCCCCACCCCTTCCTGCAGGCTTAAACCCTCCGCAGTGTGCGCCGACTTGGAATCCAACCCAAGGTTCTTATCTTGGCCCCCAAGCCCTGCATATCTGGCCCTCGCTAGGCTCAGGCTCATGGCACCTACCTACTCCCCCCCTCCACCCCACCACCTGGCACCCACCTGGTCCTCTTTGCTACGTCTGTGCTCTGCTCCTTTCCAGCTTGGCACCTTCCCCATGCTGTTCCCTCGCCACTGTCTCCCACCTGCCCAGGCTTCTTATTCTTTAGCTTTCAGCCGAATGCGTGGCTCTTT